TTTTTGAAAACAATTGAAAATAAATTGAAAAACACAACATTTCTTGAAGGGTAGATTACCAACCACAAATTCTAAGCTGAATAAAAACCCGGACAATAAGAGACTCGAAAAGTTTCAGGGAAAAAAACATGGGAAAAAGACAACAGAATGCGCCAGCGTGAAATGTATCATAGGCCTTTAACTATAGTTAATTGTTAATATAACTTAAAGCGACGAGAGATGGGTTACGTTTTCTTTGCTTTTGCTCCCATTCAACTAGTGATGTCAGATCTGTTCATTTTTCAACGCAAACCGAAAAACACGAGCTAAACCATTTTTTTCCTTAAACAACTTCTCTAATTTCTCACTTTCATGAACCAATGCTCACAATTAGATTTCTATGTTACCACTCTTGCTAAATATTATATAGAATGGTCAAAAATTCTGGTTCCATGTTTAGAAACCTTGCTAGTTAAAACTCGAAATGAGCCGGCGTGAAATGCATCACAGGCTTTTTTCTATCGCTAAGTTTTAACTTAATTCCACACACATTTACTTCGATTTTTAGTTATTGCTACCATTGAACGAAGGATGGCAAAATAGAATAACACACATAAGACAAACAAAATTAGGATGTTTATAACCTGATGCTAATTCTCCGCAATTTGAACTAGTGTTCACAGTTAACAAAATCTGTTACGCTCCGACATCTTGCTTGTTAAATTATACAATAAAAAAAATCTCGTACCTCGAGGCATTAACCTTGATTTTATATCAAAGTAGGCCGGCGTCAATTGCATAGCAAGCGGGGACTTATAGCTGTCGCTAAGTGGTTACGTCATTCAACACATTGATTGCTTAATTTACATCTTTTTAGGCATTAGATAAATCTTTCCTACCTTTTTCAGCCAAAACAGAAAAACACGTCATTTCATATTTTTTGTGTGAATAACTGGTTTTGCTAGTAGTTCTTTGCACAATTGACCACAATATAAAAATATTTGTTTCATGCTTAGACAACGCATGCTATTTAGCGTTAACACTGATCAACAAATCTCGCATACCATTGCATATACAACTCAAAGTGTGCCAGCGTGATATCTATCACGGGCTGAAGTGAAGGCAAAACATGACGCCGATTGAAAACAATTGGTCAATAAAACTTGGAAACCAGATTTTTAACTATGAGTGTACCCTGACAGCACGCTTATAGGATTGGGAAATTGGCAAGTTTTTTCAAACTAATTTTTTTGAAAACAATTGAAAAAAAATTTAAAAAAACACAAATTTCTTGAAGGGTAAATTACCAATCACAAATTCTACCCTGAATAAAAACCCGGACACTAAGTGACTCGAAAAGTTTCAGGGAAAAAAACTTGGGAACAAAAAAAAAAACAGAATGTGCCAGCGTGAAATGTATCATAGGCCTTTAACTATAGGTAATTGTTAATATAACTTAAAGCGATGAGAGATGGGTTACGTTTTCTTTGCTTTTGCTCCCATTCAACTAGTGATGTCAGATCTGTTCCTTTTTCCACGCAAACCGAAAAATACGAGCTAAACCATTTTTTCCTTCAACAACTTGATTTAATTTCTCACTTTCATGAACAAATGCTCACAATTAGATTTCTATGTTACGCCGAGACCACTCTTGCTAGTTATTATATAGAATGGTCAAAAATTCTGGTACCATGTTTTGAAACCTTGCTAGTTTAAATTCGAAATGAGCCGGCGTGAAATGCATCACGGGCTTTTTTCTATCGCTAAGTTTTACCTTAATTCCACATGAATTAACTTAATTTTTTATGATATTGCTACCATTGAACGAAGGATGTCAGATCTGTCATTTTTTCTGCAAAAAAATAGAATAACATACTATGCAAAACAATTTAAAAATGCCCATAACCTGAAGCTAATTCTCCGCTATTTGTTCTGGTGCTCACAATTGAAACAATCTGTTACGCTCCAACAACTTGCTGGTTGAATTATACATCAATCAGAATGTCTCGTATCTCAATGCATTAACTTTGCTGATGTTATATCTAAGTACGCCAGCGTGGAATGCATTACGCGCTTTTACCTATCGTTAAGTTTTAACTCAATTCCATACACATTTACTTCGATTTTTAGTTATTGATACTTGAACGAAGGATAACAGAAGTGTCCAAAATCCTGCAACAAAATAGAATAACACACATAAGACAAACAAAATTAGGATGCTTATAACCTGATGCTAATTCTCCGCAATTTGAACTAGTGTTCACAGTTAACAAAA